ACTTTGATCACACAATTTGATCAAGGTCATCTCATAGACCAACAATACTTTTTTCAAGCATAAACCAACTCAATTGATTCCACGATTGTAGTCAAATTCAACATCGAATAAGACTATGCTTCTTGTTTCACGAGAATTGCACTTTTTCACTTTCACAAGATAACATCATATTAAATAATAAGGCATATATTCACCTTATTCTTATGGACAAAGTCACTTTTTATCACTTGCAAATATGATTCAGCATAAGATCATTTTACTACCATTTTCAAAGACATCGAGCATCACCGCCAACTATGGACATAATTTTGTGTTCTATAAAATGATTCCTTGTCTCAATAATTGCGCAAGCAATTTCCAATAGAACATATTACAATTTGTCATAATTCATGCAAATTTTATTTTCAACCAAAATATATTATATAATTACAGAAAGTTGGCTCCAATTATTTCTGCACTAATTTAATTGATAATGCTATCACACCATCTTAGAAATACAGCAGATTGCATCAATTAGTCCCGTGCACAACGTAATTCGAATGGAAAGTAACTTTCATTGATATACAAAAGTGGACCGAAACATGAATCTTTCAATTTCAATGAAATGCTACTGACGGTTATACAAAGAAAATTCCACGAACCAGAAAATTCAATGTATGGCCAAAAGTCACGCATAAATTCACCGGTTCACATTACAGCATTGTATGCATTTACATGTATATATTTTTTTCCATCAGCATCTATCATTTGATCATTAAGTATGCATCATATAAATTACTATCCATTTAGTGAGTTTTGTCTTCTTCCAGTAATGTATGTTGGATTTGAGAACAAAATACTGGTGCATGATGAGGTATGATATTAAATCCATTTTATCAATATCCACGTAAATTATGCATACTGAAAAGGTTCAAATTCATGGTCCTTGACTAATTATGGAAAAACACGCATAGGCAGCCATGTATTTTTGGCCATTTCAACCATAATTAAATAAATTAGGTAGCACTTATCTGCAGTTTTTCCATTGGCTGCACATCGGATTCAATCTTTTCATTCTTCAATTGGAAACCTTTCTTTCCAAATGTTCTAGATTTCTTTGACAGAATTCGTCTCATCAACTGATGCAAAACAAGATCTTGATTACATCAAATTGGTTTATGCCATAGTGATTCCATTCTCCATTGCATAATATCGTTTGAGATTGTTGGGAATTTATCGCCACCGGGTTGGAGAAGAAACAAAATAGAAGTGATATCAAGTAGATGAAATAAACGTGAAAAACAAACCGAATATGAAAGGCTCAAACACGACATTATATCGTTGTCCTCAAACGATATTTGCCCCATGTCGGTATTAATTTTGGTGCTTAAAGGGTCTAGCGGCAAATGGTTTGAAGGATTGATCAAGCCATGATGTAGAGAAACACAAAAGCACAAGCATTTCTCCACCCGAACTTAAAGAACACAAAGAAGGAATTCTATGAATATGAAGGAAGAAAGTTTTGATTCTTCAATAGTGGAATGTAATATGGATCTTAATGTTTTCCATATGTTTCTCATACATTTTCAATGTCCATTAATCTCATACTTATAGCCATGGAACATTGTTTCACGAAATGGTGCCAAATGAGAGTGAAAAGCCACCAAAGAATAAAAACTAGAAAACTGCCAACAGCTATAATTTTCCCTTCACCCGATGCGATCACACAGGTCTCTTGCCAACAGAGTGGCGGACACAGATATTTGGAGTTAGTGGGGCACAACTAAATTTATTAAAAAGTTACAAACAAATTATGTATTCCACAGAAACAAAAACACATACACATGATCACTATTATAGATTCACAAATCTCGTATATATATGATAAATAACAATTCCCAAAGAATTTCAAATAATCAAAAATATATGATGAATAATTTTTTTTAAAGAATTTTCAAATTAAATATTACAAATGACAAAATAATTTTAACTCTCACTCTCTCAATTTTTCGGTCATTGTTGGAACTCTATTCTAATAAAAAAAGAACGATGTGTTCAACAATCTCATATGGGCCAATATACCTCGGACTCAATTTACCTCGTTTACCAAATCTGATAACACCTTTCCATGGAGACAATCGCAGAAAAACTCTATCTCCAGCAACAAATTCAAGGTTTCTTCTGCGTCTATCTGCATAGTTCTTCTGTCTATCTTGGGTTGTCTTTAACTTTTCTTTAATTATCTTTACTTTCTCAGTAGTAATCTGGACATATTCAGGACCCAATAACTTTCTTTCACAAGCTTCATCCCAACATACTGGAGTTCTGCATTTCCTACCATACAGTGCTTCAAAAGGAGCCATTTCTATACTCGAATGATAACTGTTATTATAAGCAAACTCCATCAAAGAAAGATGAGTATCCCAATTCCCTTTGAACTGTAGTACACAAGCTCGTAACATGTCTTCCAGAGTTTGAATAGTTCTTTCTGACTGACCATCTGTTTGTGGATAAAAAGTCGTACTGAAATGAAGTTTAGTACCCATAGCTTTCTGCAAACTGGGCCAAAATTTAGAAGTGAAACGAGAATCTCTATCTAAAACAATAGATACTAGTATCCCATATAAACTGATTATCTCGTTAACATATATTTTTGCAAATTTATCTAACGAGTAAGTGACTTTAATAGGCAAAAATCTAGCAGTCTTCGTCAATCTGTCTATAATGATCCATATGCCATCATGTCCACTTTGAGTCTGTGGAAGTCCGAATAGAAAATCCATAGTAATGTGTTCCCATTTCCACTCAAGAATAGGCAACTATTGTAACAATCCTATTGTTTTCTGACGATCTGGTTTTACTTTCTGGCAAATGAGACATCTGGATACAAACTCAGCTATTTCTCTCTTCATTCCATGCCACCAATAGTGTTCTTTTAGTACACGATACATTTTTGTACTACCTGGATGCATCGTGTAAGTTGAACTATGTACCTCTTCTAGAATTTCTTCCTTCAATTTCAAATCACCTGGAACACATAATCTATTTCCTATAACTAAAACTCCATCATCTTGAATGGTATAATCTGTATGCTTACCTTTACTAACTTCTTCTTTCAATTTGCTCAACATTGGATCTTGAATTTGAGTTTCTTTAACTATATCAATCAAAGTAGGCCTCACTTGGAAGTTGGCAAACAGTGCTCCTACACTGGTAACTGATAATTGAGCACGAGAAACTCTGAACTCACCAAACAAAGATGAACATACTGCATTGTTTGGTTCATAGGACTCAGTATTTTTCGACTTATAGTATCAGCAATTACATTAGCCTTCCCTGGATGATAATCAATCTTGCAGTCGTAATCTTTTATTAGCTCTAACTATCTTCTTTGCCTCAAGTTTAACTCTTTCTGATTGAAAATATACTTTAAACTTTTATGATCTGTATATATCTGGTATCTCTCACCATACAAGTAATGTCTCCAAATTTTCAAGGTTAGGACAATTGCAGCTAGCTCTAAGTCGCTTGGAAGCATACGCTATAACTTTCCCATTCTGCATTAAAACACAACCAAGACCGTGATGTGAAACATCACTATATATCACAAACTCTTCACCGGGAGATGGAAGGGTAAGAACTGGAGCTGACACTAATCTATTCTTCAATTCGAGGAAACTTCTCTCACAATTTTTATTCCAAACAAATTTAGCATTCTTTCTAATCAAACTGGTCAAAGGAAGAGCAATTTTGGAAAATCCCTCTACAAACGACGGTAATAACCTGCTAAGCCAAGAAAACTTTGGATTTCTGTCACATTAGTAGGCCTTTCCCATTTTACCACTGCCTTTGTTTTCTGTGGGTCAACATAAATTCCTTCTGCTGATATGACATGTCCGAAAAACACAACTTTATCAAGCCAGAATTTACATTTACTGAATTTAGCATACAACAGCTCATCGTGTAGAGTCTGTAAGATGATTCTAAGATGCTCTGTCTGTTTATCGTGATTATAAGAGTCTACTAAAATATCATCGATGAATACAATCACAAATCTATCTAAGTATGGGCGAAACAATCTATTCATCATATCCATAAATGCTGCTGGTAAGTTGGTCAACCCAAATGGCATCACAAGTAATTCAAAATGACCATATCTTATCCTGAAAGCAGTTTTTGGTGCATCACTATCCATGATTTTAAGTTGATGATATCCAGAACGCAAATCAATCTTTGAAAATACTGCAGCACCTCGAAGCTGATCGAACAGATCATCAATACGTGGTAAAGGATATTTATTGCGAATTGTCACTTTGTTCAATTATCTGTAATCTATGCACAATCGCATGGTGCTATCTTTCTTTTTCACAAACAAAATTGGTGCTCCCCATGGAGATATATTAGGTCTGATGAAACCCTTGTCTACCAACTATTGCAACTGAACCTTTAGCTCTTTCAATTCTATTGGTGCCATTCTATAAGGTGCCTGTGAAATAGGTGCAGTTCCTGGAATCAAATCTATAGTGAACTCCATATCTCTGTCTGATGGTAAGCCTGGTAATTCTTCTGGAAATACATCAGGAAAGTCCTTGACCACTGGGATATCTTCAAGTTTTAGTTTGCTAACATCTGTATCAATTACATGAGTCAAATATACATGGCAGCCCTTGTTGAGTAATCTTTTAGCATCAATAGCAGATATCACACAAGACGGTAAAATTCTGCGCTGTCCATTGAATATAACTTCAGGCTGTCCTGGTTGTCTAAACACAACCTCCTTTTGAAAGAAATCAACTGAAGCTCGATTTGTTGTCAGAAAGTCCATACCCAAGATAACATCAAAATCATGTATGTCAAGAGGTATTAAATTTACCTTGAGCTCATTCTCCTTTACTTTAATGCCACAATCTCAATATATATTGTTTGCTAATAGTGATTCTCCTACTGGTGTATTCACTACCAAACAACTGCCTAAAAGTTCTGGCTTTTAATTCGCATATAAAGAAAATGCAAATGACATAAAAGAATGTGTAGATCCAGGATCAATCAAAATACGAGCATTTCTATCAAAAATAGACAACATACCCATGATAACATCTGGTGATTCCTTTGCCGCCTACTGAGGCATAGCAAAAATTTTGCCCTGAGTCTTCGATCGTCCTACTTGCCCTTTTGATTTTGTACCACTACCGCTTGCGATATTAGACTGGACCACACTGTTTGCACCTGCTCTGTTAGCTGAATCATCTCTCTAAGTCTGATTTTGTCTTGTACTACCAGCACTCTATTGAAGAAACATCATATGTGCCATGTTACCCTCCTGAAATAAAACTGGGCAATTCCTTTTCATATGTCCTTCTTGGCCACAGCGATAGCAAACACCAACTCCCTTGAACTTTAAACACTCTCCAAGATGAGATCTTCCACATAATTGGCAAGAAGAAATCTTGCACTAGTAGAACTCTCTCCCTGTCTCGGAGTAAATGATCTTTAGAAAGAACCCTGAGTATAATTACGACTGGCCAATGGCTGCAGTATAGTACTGGTACTGAATTTAGGACCCTTACTTTCTCGGAATCGAGATTTGAATTGACCTGAATTGGACACACCAGGTTGAAATCCTCTACTGTCCCTCAATGGTGGTCTATAGCTAGAAGCACTTTCCATTGTCTAACTACCGTTTGCTCTGAACATTATTTGTTCTCTACCAATTGGCCTATCAAAAATGCTCTTTTCTACTCTCAAAGCTGATTCCACTAATTTGCCAAATTCATTCCAGCCTGCAGCTATTACTATTGACCTGATTTCTTCCATTAACCTATTTTCAAACCGTCTACATTTATCAATTTCGTTGCTTACCAGAACTTGGACATATTTTGAAAGTTCAATAAATTTTTCCTGATATTCTGCAATAGTCATATGGCCCTGTATTAGTTTCAGAAATTCCTCCTGCTTTGCATCTTTATAGGATCGATGGTAATAAGCATCGTAAAAGATACGACGAAAATCTATCCAACAAATGATGGAAGGGTCTAGATATGTGCTCCGTACCCACTGCCACCAATCATACGCACCCTCCTCTAATAAGAAGGTGGCAAGACACAACTTCTGATCGTCTGAGCAATCCATAACGTCAAATACCCTCTCTATCTTTGTCATCCATGCCTGCGCAACTGCAGGATCGGCTGTGTCAATGAACACTTTAGCCCCTAACTTTGTAGCCCTTTCAATACTAAAATCTCCGTCGGTATTACGCATAGCAGATGCAACGACAATAGCAATTCTTTCAACAGTAATAGGATTAGTTCCAATCACATTTCCCTGTCCCTGTGTTTCAGGAGGCTGGTGAACTGATTCATCTACTCTCTCGGACTCTCTCAGTTCATCTCTATTAGGAGCAATGTGAGACTGAGACAACATATCTTGGAGCCTTTGAGTTTTGCCACCACGAGGCATGACTCACCTACAGTTATGCATGATATGCTAAATATCAGAATGTATGCATGTACAATGCAAACCCATGAACTCTAGTGCATGCTCTGATACTAAACTGACACACCCCACCCCGTGTAACACCACTAGATCCGGACGTGGCATGCACCGATGATGGATACCAACTAAAAATCGGACCCACCATCAATGCTACTACAAATACAATATATCACTTTTTATACATCATTTTTCTAACAAAATTTCGGCATTATCTCCCCTGTAAAAAGGACTAACCAACCTGTGATCAATTTCACACAAATCCCAAACTATAGCACAGCACAATAAAGATAAGCCGAAATCTCCACTTTTACCAAGAAATACAATGAAATATACATATGGATACATAATACATAGTGAGCCCCATAACTATCTACAAGTTATGCAAAATCACATTTAGACATGAACATGCGTCCTAAAACACTGACTACATGTTCTATGAAGTGAGTCATACTAACAAACTCTGTCGTGTGGTTCTGACTCCAAAATCAAGGCTCAACTCCAAAAGATGCCCAGATTCTCAATTGCTGCCTGATAAGGAAAAACGTGAAAAAATATATAAGTTAATAGCTCAGTGAGTGGAGAAGTTCAAAATAAATATAATTTTTCCATTTATGCATTTATATTGAAAATCAAATTCAAATCATTTGATAATTCACAAGCTACCATCATGTAATTATAGCTAAAGAGTGAAATATTCACATAAGGTCATAAAAATATCATCTTAAAATCATGATATAACATCAGTTAATAACCGTGTTATAATCTCATCACATCAAACGTGCTGAAAAATCCACCAAAAATGTACTCTCTAATTGAAATATGTAATCCGCCTCTCGGGCTAAGAACTTTTGCCACGGGCCTTTGGCCCCCTCCGTGAATGAAAGCAGGTCTCAAAGACCTATCATAATCAATTCTAGAATACGGTCAAGACCCCTCTATGAACTATATGTACACGATCAAGACCAATGTCAAGTCAAGACCCTCCATGTAGGATAGAACACGGTCAAGATCCCTCTGTGAACTAGAAGAAGTATATAATCATGGGTACTTTTCTTACATGCCAAACAAATCTCAATATCACATGTCTTACATAACAAGTCACAAATATGCCATAAATAATTCCACATATATCATAATAAAAGAGATTTCCATAATAATCATATAATTCGAACACATAATTGCACATACTTTGACAATATACTTAATTTATAAATATTTTAAAAATATTATATTTTTCCACTCATAGAACCATGTACGCTAAAATCAACTTGATTGGTTCAATGTCCCGATATCCGTATCGCCGTCTAAAATATAATATAATTTTTAAATCAACAATTAACTAATTTAAATAATTTCAATAATTAAATAGGCAATACCCAAACTTAATTATTTCACGTTTAGGAGATTTCTAAAGTCTCTTTAATTACTAAAACTAATTTTTCTTTCATTTTACTCAACTTCATAGTTTATTATACTTAACCCCTTCAATAAAATTGAATTTAATCTAAGAACCTAACAACTATAAAATCAAACATAACATTTCAATAAGTAACTTTACTTACCTTTCAAAATTGAGAAATTCAAGACTAATAGTATAACCCACTTAATTTCTAACACGTTGACAAAAAATTTCTATTTCTTCTTCTTCTTTTTTTTTTTGAAGTTTGACTTTTTTTTTGTTTAATGTATTACACAACATTATTTGATTAGGATAAGGTTATCGCGGATTTATATAATGTTGTAACTATCCACTTATCGAATGACTTGTTGTTACCCTTTGAACTCGTGGAATACCTTTTGAGTAATAACAGGTAGGGTTGCCGTCATTGGTGGATCTTTGTAGTTTAGAAGTTTCTACCACCATCATACTCAAGGTAGATGCCACTAAAACTCTATTTAGTGGTTTAAAGGATCCTCTAGATCTTTACCAAAATTATTCCATCTCAGATAATTTCCTTATTTAGTCACATCTAAGACTTATATGTCTAGACTTCCATTACATTTGACTTATTCTCTTATCAAACATAGCCAACCAACGATCGATTCATTTGATAGATACAACTTGTCACCACCAAGAAGCCACATCTTTTCCCTAGCTTTATTTCAAGCTTTATAAATTTTCAAAATACGGTTGAAAAATTTCTATCAACCATTGCACTTGTCAATCACTTTGATTTGTGGATCTCATACTTGGGTATTTGCTTCTCATCATTGAATCATTACATTGATCTTTAATATTGTGAATATTCTTTAAATATTCCAATTGGTTTAGCAAACGTCATAATCGGTTTTCACCCAACTCATCCACTTTAGACTTAGTGTCTCACATCCTTATAATTATATATAAGGGGTTTCAACATTTTCACCTTCATAGATATCTTCTATGATTGAAAGGTATAGGGAATTGTAACTTTTAAATTAAGTTACCCTCACAATTCCTCGATTAGGAATATTCATGCAACCTAGTAACGTTGCATCCACTAGTCTTGAACTTCTCATATAAGTTCTTAAGCATTAATGTTAACCCCCATGTTTTGAGTTATTTTCGAACTTAGAGAGTTCATCAATATGCTTAACCCCCCCATTTGGGATTATATTTGAACTTATAATTTATTAACTCTTTCATTCACTTATCACTTTAATAGATCACACCATTTGATCAACGTCATCTCATAGACCAGTAATACTTTTCCAAGTATAAACCAACTCAATTGGTTCCACGATTGTAGTCAAATTTAACATCGAATAAGACTTTCTTGTTTCACGAGAATTGCACTTTTTCACTTTCACAAGATAACATCATATTGAATAATAAGGCATATATTCACCTTATTCTTATGGACAAAGTCACTTTTTATCATTCGCAAATATGATTCAGCATAGATCATTTTACTACCATTTTCAAAGACATCGAGCATCACCGCCAACTATAGACATAATTTTGTGTTCTATAAAATGATTCCGTATCTCAGTAATTGTGCAAGCAATTTCCAATAGAACATATCACAATTTGTCATAATTCATGCAAATTTTATTTTCAACCAAAATATATTATCTAATTACAGAAATTTGGCTCCAATTATTTCTGCACTAATTTAATTGATAATGCTATCACACCATCTTAGAAATATAGCAGATTGCGTCAGTTAGTCTCGTGCACAACGTAATTCGAATGGAAAGTAACTTTCATTGATATACAAAAGTGGATCGAAACATGAATCTTTCAATTTCAATTTCAATGTTACCGACGATTATACAAAGAAAATTCCACGAACCAGAAAATTCAATGTATGGCCAAAAGTCACGCATAAATTCACTGGTTTACATTACAGCATTGTGTATATATATATATATATATATATATATATTATTTTCCATCAGCATCTATCATTTGATCATTAAGTATGCATCATATAAATTACTATCCATTTAGTGAGTTTTGTCTTCTTCTAGTAACGTATGTTGGATTTGAGAACAAAATACTGGTGCATGATGAGGTATGATATTAAATCCATTTTATCAATATCCACGTAAATTATGCATACTGAAAAGGTTCAAATTCATGGTCCTTGACTAATTATGGAAAAACACGTGTAGGCAGCCATGTATTTTTGGCCATTTCAACCATAATTAAATAAATTAGATAGCACTTATCTGCAGTTTTTCCATTGGAGGCACATCGGATTCAATCTTTTCATTCTTCAATTGGAAACCTTTCTTTCCAAATGTTCTAGATTTCTTTGACAGAATTCGTCTCATCAACTGATGCAAAACAAGATCTTAACAAGATCTTGATTACATCAAATTGATTTATGCCATAGTGGTTCCATTCTCCATTGCATAATATCGTTTGAGATTGTTGGGAATTTATTTCCACCGGGTTGGAGAAGAAACAAAATAGAAGTGATATCAAGTAGATGAAATAAACGTGAAAAACAAACCGAATATGAAATGCTCAAACACGACATTATATCGTTGTCCTCAAACGATATTTGCCCCCTGTCGGTGTTAATTTTGGTGCTTAAAGGATCTCGCGGCAAATGGTTTGAAGTATTGATCAAGCCTTGATGTAGAGAAACACAAAAGCACAAGCATTTCTCCACCCGAACTTGAAGAACACAAAGAAGGAATTCTAAGAATATGAAGGAAGAAAGTTTTGATTCTTCAATAGTGGAATGTAATATGGATCTTAATGTTTTCCATATGTTTCTCATACGTTTTCAATGTCCATTAATCTCATATTTATAGCCATGGAACATGGTTTCACGAAATGGTGCCAAATGAGAGTGAAAAGCCACCAAAGAATAAAAACTAGAAAACTGCCAACAGCTATAATTTTCCCTTCACCCTATGCGATCGCACAGGTCTCTTGCCAACAGAGTGGCGGACGCAGATATTTGAAGTTAGTGGGGCATAACTAAATTTATTAAAAAGTTACAAACAAATTATGTATTCCACAGAAACAAAAACACATAAACATGATCACTATCATAGATTCACAAATCTCATATATATGATAAATAACAATTCTAATCTCATATATATAATAAATAACAATTCTCAAAAAATTCCAAATAATGTCACATATATGATGAATAATAATTTCCAAAGAATTTTCAAATTAAATATTACAAATGACAAAATAATTTCAACTCTCACTCTCTCAATTGTTTGGTAATCACTGTAACTTTATTCTAATAAAAAGCCCACTACGATTACTGTCCAAATCTGATTTTTGGCTAAAAGAAAGAAAGAAAGAAAGAAAGAAAAAACTTAAANTCTTAAAAAAAAAAAAAAAAAAAGAAAAAAAAAAGAAAAAAAGCCAACTTGAACTAGGTGGGTCAAGTGACCCACTAGGACCTTTTGTAGGTCCGCCGATGGCCAACAGGGCCTTAAGGCCCTTTAATATGCTGTGCAGTCACATGACAGGTTGGTCCACGCGACCGCGTGGTCCAACAAGTTTG